AGAGTATCCGAGAAGTGTCGATATTGACTCGTGTCCGACACGGACACGGATACACTACCCTAATTGAAGTGTTCGTGTTACAGAACATGAGGACGTTGGAACAAACTATTAGACGTGCTTGAACAGAATTGCAGAGAATTTTTATTTTTAATTTAATATATCTTTCATAGTATATTTGATATCTGAACGTGATAAACTTGACGGTGAGACTATTGCATTTTCAATGGAAGTCGTAATCAACATGCGGGAAAAGGGGTTTATTCCCACCAAGGGCTAAAACTCCAATCACACGTGACAGTTGACACTTTCTGATCAAATTTGAAAGAAATTTGTGTTCAATAATTGGAATATAGAACCTATTTGGGAAAAATTTGTAGTTTCATTTTTAGAAACTATATGACAGTTACACAATAGTCTTCCACCCATTTTCTACAATTTCTAACACATTACACTGCACCATAGAAAATGGTAAGATTCTCTCCCCATTATTTCCGTTTTTACCACCATTAACCGACAATGAAAGGACAGTTGTCGTGGGTGAATAATTGGCATGAAACTGTAGACTTATTTCACATGAAAATGGGTAGATTATTGCAGTGGGAAGAAAGAAAGAGACATGAATGAATGGTTAATTCATTTTCCTTCACTTTGACTTTTCAAAGCCTACCAATTGTTTGAAAAATATGACAAATTGCAATTACCCATTTTTTTCAAATTTGACACGTGTCATGTCTTGTTTTGTTTGATGTTGTACTAATTATCATTGCAATATTAACGTAAGACAGTTGAAGCGTTTACAAAAAAATTGAACCCATCTTTTTTCCCATTTTTAGGTGCACCAATTTTCTATGACACATGGTTTCTCGAAAATAAATTAGTTAGAAATGTAAAATTAACTACAAGTGATACTGATATATCATCTTACGGAATTAACTATTTAGGCTAAATTCATGCATGAATGTGAGACGAAATTAGCAACTAAATTTAAATATATGAAAATGAAATTTAAATGAACAAATAATGGATAAATAATAACGACATTTAGGCCATGTTTGACACACATCTTCATTCTCATATTTATTCTCATTCTTCATCCCACCCACACATTCACCAAATAAAATACTATTACACATAAATATAAAACTTATCAATACATATCANTCATTTTTTTTCTCTTTCTTCATCTCAACCACACATTCTCCAAATAAAATAATATTACACATAAATTTAAAACTTTTCATTACTTTTTAAACACACATTCTTCCATCAATCACTATTCCAAAATTCATTTTTCCCCAAAATGAGGTGTCAATCATGAGCTTAATTATTTCAATAAAACTATAAAGTCGTTAATTTTAAGTGTAATTTTAATTTCATGTCGAAATTGAAACATAGTGGATTAAGTTTTAAAAAAAAAAAATCCCATTTTTTTAAAACTTCAAATTTAATATTTTAAAATTGAAAAATTGACCCTAAAATTAAAATTATGAAAAGGGCCTCAAAATATAGTCCATTTTCTTTAAAATTTCCAAAGTGACCCTTTGTCAAAATTGCAAGCAAAACCCCCAAAGATTCGGAAATTGCAGAAAATCCCTCTTCCCAAAAACAATTGAAAATTCTTGGCAAAACCCTAGACTAATTCTCTCTTCTCAATTATTAGGGTCCATTGGTTATGAGGAAGTTCCCTCTGCTTCTACCACAATTCTTGCTTAATTTTTGTCAGACTAATAGTTTTGTAAACAAAATTGTCACCAGCATATTTAACTTGTGCGTACCAAATTAAAAGATCAAAAACATATACACAAAAAACCACTTCATCGATTGTTCTTACTTTTTCATAAACTAAAGACATATATAGTGTCACTGAAGTGATTCGATTTGTGCACAAACCGGGCTCAATTTCAACTATAAATCGAATATCAAACACCAATCAAAGAGAGGCTCGAACCCGCATCTTTTTCTATCATTTGAGTTGCTACTTTCTAGCACCCACAAAGGACAAAATATGGTGGTTAATTGCAGCCACAAAGGAGGAGAATTATTAAGGCTGTCCGTGGGTCGGTTCGGTTCGATTCTGAAGAGACCCGAGCCGATCCAAAACTTTCGGGTATTTAATAAATGGACCCGTCGGTCCAAATATAATTATGGAACCGTTTAGGTTCGGTTCCGTTCGGTTCCGTACCATAATTAAATTTTTTAATATTTTCAGCAACACTACATAAATATAACTAATGACATTTCATTCGTAACTTTTACAATATAACGTAGCTCAATTGAAAAACATATAAATAACTAGCCGTCCAATAAAATTAATTCAATGCATACAAATACCAAAAAGTAGATATTAATATTACAGTAAAACTATATAAA